ATTATTTCTTAAAAATAGAGTGAAAATAATATATAAGAATAAAATTTAATATAAACATAAAAAAGGGTTTTTTTTAATTGACCGGTTGAACCGGTCGGGTGAACCGGTTCAACCGGTTGAACCGGACCCAGTGACCAAAACGGGTCAGTCACCGGGCCGGGTTTTAAAACACTGGTTTTAAGAATCAAACCGGACCGATCGATTCAACCGGTGGACAAAACAGGTAGGGTGGACACCCAGGCTTGTTTAGATGGTTGGACCGTTTAAACCCGAAAGAACCATCCGACCCATCCGACCCGTCCCACCCTGTAGACTCGATGAACCGGCCGGGTGAATTCTTCCACAGTGATGCGACGCTGCAAGCCTACTGCAACTTCATTTTCATTTTTTTTTTCATGATTTTCCACTTTTTCCAACACAAAAGCAAAATCTGATAGTTTTTTCTCCATTTTCTAGTCTCCATCGGTTCTCCACTCTCAAATCCAGTCTCCATTGCTTTTCTAGATCTGATCGTTGTTCTCCATTGCTGTTTTGGATTCTTTAGTTTCCAACTTTCCATCACTTTTCCAGCCATATCGACAAAGAAGAAACCACAGGGTAGCACTGTAGCAGATAGGGGCAACAAATCGCTTCCCCTTCGCATCTCCAGATCCAGCAGCAGATCAGCTTCTCCATCACATCCCCAGATTGGGAAGCAAAGGGCAGCAGAGGGCAACAGATCAAATCAGCCTTCATCGAAAGACTTGTCTAAAACCACCCATTAAATTAGAGGTTGATATAGATCACGTGTATTCTACGTCATAAAAAGGAGCCATGAAAGATCAATAATTGGGTTTTTGTTTTTTTTTTTTTAAATCGCTTGATGATGGTTTGTGTTCTGATGAAGTGATGATCAATTGCGGTGGAATTAATTGTAGAGCAATGCTAGGGGCACTCGCCTCGTGCACTCTCCGGCCAACACTTTCACTTTTATTGGACCACGTTATATTGGTTAAAGAGGTATCATAGATATATTTACATGATATATATATTTATAAAAACAGTGTATAGACATATATATAATTAATTATCATAAAAAATAATTTGACATATATGAAAAACAGTGTATGATATTTTTATGATAGTTAATTATATGTATGTCTATACACTGCAATGGGTTCTTACAAATATATTATACTTTTATATGAATTAGTTGTATAATACTTTTTTTATTTATTTACTTAATTTTAAAACTTATTTTTCATATATATTTTGTTTTGAGATTTGTTTTTAATATTATTATGTGAATTTATATATCTATTAAATTTAATTTAAACTAAAAATAATTATATAATGCTAGAAATTGCAAGAGAAAAAATTGCAAAACACAGCAGCCAAATGATGTCGGAAACTGCAGAACCTAAAACTGCAATTTTAGGCACTCTTCAATTGGCCCGGGCAGGTGGCTGGTTGAACCTGTCAGATCGTCAAAATTGGGAACCGATCACCAAACCGGTTCAACCACCGGTTCAGGTTTCAAAACCTTAGGGTCGCCAAAAGCCTCCCAAGAACTCCTCTCAATTTTGATCATAGACGAGAATTTATAGGAATTTGGGATGGGGTGGACTTGCTAAAAATCGCACCGGGTGTCGATGGTGTAAAAGGAGTACCGACACCTTCACTGTATCGTGGATCATTCTTGCCTTGCCAAGGAGTTCGGAATAGAGAATATCGGAACGGAGAATATCCCAAGTTCCCGGGAAGCGCCAGTAAATGATTGGCTCCATAAAGGGTAAATGGAAATACACCTAATTGATGAAAGGTCATTCCAATACTCCATTTTTCATTTTTCTTTTCTTTTTTTTTTTAATATATTTGAACCAACTTCAAATTTTTGACATTAATTTCTCCTTAAATGATTTTAATTAAAGGCACTAATCTGTAGCTGATATATGAGTCTAATTCAATTTTTATCTTTTAATTGAAAAGAGAAGTCTCTATAGCAAAAGATATTAACTGGACTTAACTCCTTATTTAACCTCTTATAAATTTTAAGATTATTAGCCCCTCACCTAAAAACTTAAGGGTATTAACCCTCAATAATACAATTTAGAAGAATTCATCATTATTTAACAAATTTTAATATTAAATCCTTAGTCAAACACTATTTTCATTCGAATAAGTGACATAGTCTGTATCTCTATATTGCGTGGAATGCCACTACAGCAGTGCCACACTCTGTTGTAATGAACTTTAAAAAAACAAAAACTTGTTTAAAATGTTGATAAAAATAGATAATTTAACTTTATCAAAGTGAGACCTATATTATATTAAGGGAGAAATTTTTGTTGATTGTCATATAGTGGCATGCCACATATGATAGATATGCTATGTGATCGACTAAAATGGAAATAAAATTTAACTAAGTGTGAAATTAAAATTTGTTAAATAAAAGAGAATTCTCCCAGATTAAATTATTGAGGGGCTAATACCTTTAAGTTTTTAGGTAAAGGGCCAATAACTTTAAAATTTATAAATTAATGGGCTAACTAGGGAGTTTGGCCTATTAACTGAAGCAAAATGAAGGGATTTGTTTTACTAGCTTTGGAGAATATGTTCAAGTAGTATTAAGGAAATACCCCAAATCAACTTTGTGTATTGAAAGAAATTAATTTTTTTTTTTAAATACTAACTTAAAACACCTTAGATCTAACGTACAAAACAACATTTTCAACCATTAGATACAACCATTGAAGTTAACCTTTACAACGTATCCAAAACTTTATTTGCAATCTTATATATAAACACCTAGGTTGACTTCATTGAACGGAAGGAAATTAACTGGTAACATTATTTCTAGTTCTAGTATGTTTGTTTATCATTAATTAATGGATAAAGTCAAACGGTTGACAGATCAAAAGAAAGCAAAAGTGGCTTTATAACAAATCCAATTAGTTTGTGGTTTGAGAGGAAATGATAAAGTCATCACAATCATGAATTCAATATTGCAATTACATAATGGAACAAAGTCATGCAAGTGAAGTTTGATCTCTTCCATAAGAAGACTCGGTTTCTCTCGAATTGATTCTTTAAGACAACTTATAGAGTCATAATGCAAGACGAGCATGGGCACAACTACTTGGAGGTTGGGTTAGGCATGAGCCCTACCCAACCTAAAAAAAAAAA